ACAACAATGACTCAATCCATTTACTGAAATTTAAACCAAAGTATGACAAGGTCATAGATAAGAAATGTAATAGAGAAACTGATAATAAAATCAATGAAGGCGCACTATTCAAGGCCCTTTGTTATTCTATATATAGACAGGGTAAAAACCCTAGTTTACAGGAGGAGCTTACACGTGTATTGTACAATGGATCAGTAATATACTAAATGAATAACAATTAGTTGGGCTTTATATATCTGGGCTTATATATTGGACCCAAAGCATTCTTAACATTCCCCGTCAAGCTGGGCCTTGGTGAATCTATAAGGCCCAGTTTGTCTCGAAATGCCCGAAACTTGGAATGAGATAAGGCCTTGGTGAAGACATCAGCTAATTGCTCGGAAGAGGGAATATACTGAACTGTGAGCTTTCGGTCTAACGCTCTGTCCCTCAGATAATGAACATCAAGCTCTATGTGTTTCGATCGAGCGTGATAAACTGGGTTAGATGCTAAGGCAGCTGCACTCAAGTTGTCGCACCAGGCAATGGGAGGATGTTTTAGGTAGACACCAAGTTCTCCGAACAGAGATTGAAAACATGCGAGTTCTGTAGCTAGATTTGCAAGAGCACGATATTCTGACTCGGCTGAGGATCGTGCTACCACTTGCTGCTTTTTGGCTGACCAAGAAATTAACGAATCTCCCAGAAAAACACAGTAGCCGCCAATCGAACGCCAGTCATCAGGGCACACCGCCCAGTCGGCGTTTGAGAAGCCCTGCAAGCTGAGGTGAGTACTCGGTTTAATATGTAGAGCCAGATTTGTGGTCCACTTTAGATATTTGAGAATCAGTTTGAGTGCTTGCCAATGTTGATCAGTTGGTGAGGAAAGAAATTGACTTAACTTATTGACGGCAAAAGTAATGTCAGGCCGAGTATTAATCAAATATTGTAGAGCTCCAATTGCTTGTCTGAATTCAGTTGGATTATTGAGAGGTGACCCTTCATCTTTGGCGTAGTGTCTATTTGTTACCATGGGTGTTGGTACTAATGAGCAATTTGTCATATTGAACCTGTCAAGAATAGCTGAAATATATTTGCTCTGTTTCAAATATAAGCCTGTATCATCTCTAAAGGCCTCAATGCCCAGAAAGTGATGAAGTCTACCTAGATCCTTTAAGGCAAACCGTGAATTGAGTTGTTTGATAAACAACTCAAGTACTTCAGATGAATTGCCTGTGATAACAATATCATCCACATATACTAGAACAAACAGGACAAACTCCTTGTGTTTGAGAAAGAACAAAGAAGTATTGCATTTAGAATGACAGAATCCCCAGTTCAACAAGGTAGACCTTAGTTTTTCAAACCAGGCTCTAGGTGCTTGTCTTAAGCCATAGAGTGCTTTCTTTAGTAAACAGACATGATTAGGAAACTTAGATGATACGAAGCCTTCAGGTTGCTTCATTAAGACTTGCTCTTGCAGGTCACCATTTAAGAAAGCATTGTTGATATCAAGTTGTCTAATTTTTCCACCCAAAAGTAACTGCTAGTGATAGTACAAACCTCAAGGTAGAAGTTTTCGGCACAGGGCTAAAGGTTTCATCAAAATCTTCTGCAAACCTTTGTTGAAAGCCTTTGGCAACTAGCCTTGCTTTAGGTTTGTAACCAGATCCATCAGGTAGTTGTTTGGCCTTGAAAACCCATTTGCAATCGACAAGTTTCTTCTGTCCAGTATAAGGAATCAGATCCCATATGTGATTCTTCATAAGAGCTTTGTATTCATTTAACATTGCCTGCTGCCACTGTGAAGAATTGAGTGCTTCTCATACAGTTGTAGGCTTTTTTAGAATAATTGTCTCTGCTGTTACAGTTCCAATGTAGGGAAACTTGGGTTTGTGAATCCCTGCTTTACTTCGAGTCACTATTTGATGTCTGATTGGAGAATTATTTTGTGAGGAAGATTCTGTTGCCTGAATGTTCTCTTCGGCCTGTCTGCAGGAATTTTCTGGTGATCCATCGCCAGTTGAACCTGAAAATTGATTAGTAGAGGCTTGCTCATTTTCTTCTTCATGCCCTATTTGTGCAGAATCACGTTCCATCATTGGGAGATAAGGAGTGTGATATGAAGCATCTTGAGGATCACTGAGACTGCTACATTGAGTGTTGTTATCAACACCATCAGCTGGACAGTATCTCGGTAGAGAGCACAGAGCAGATTGGAAGAAGGATTTTGGATGCACTTCTTCAGCAGGTACCTCTTTCTTATTCAAAAAACCTGTAGAAAAAGGAAAATCATGTTCATTAAAAGCTATATGGCGAGAAATGTAGATTCTTCCAGTAGGACTCAGGCACTTATATCCTTTATGATTGTTGTTGTAACCAATGAAGACACAGTTAGTTGTTCTGAACTGTAGTTTGTGATCATTATAGGGTCTAAGGCATGGATAGCATGCTGTTCCAAATATTTTGAGATGTTCATAGTCTGGAAGCTTGCCAGTAAGTCTGAAGAAAGGTGATATCCCTCCTAGTTCAGTTGCCGTATGAAAGGCTTCCCACTAATAGAATAAGGGCATCTTGGCTTGAGCTAGGAGAGTCAAACCCATTTCTACTATGTGCCTATGTTTCCTTTCTGCTCTCCCATTTTGTGGAGATGTGTGAGGACAGGAATGCCTAAAATGTATGCCTGATTCTTGTAAAACCTTGGTAAACTTTCTATATTCACCTCCCCAGTCACTTTGAACAATTTTGATCTTACTTTCAAATTGTTTTTCAGCAAAATTCTTAAACTGGACAAACATGTGAAGAGCCTCATCCTTGGTTTTTAAAGGAAAAATCCAAGAATATCTGCTATAATCATCAACAAAGAGAATATAGTATCGGAAACCATTCATAGATTGAAGTGGTGAGGGTCCCCAAAGATCAGTGTGTATTAACTCAAGTGGTTTAGAAGCATGTGAGGTCGACACTTTGAAAGGTAAAGAATGCATTTTCCCATACTTGCAAGATTCACAAAACTAGGCTCACTTTCATTAGAAGATATTTTCAGATTACATTCTGCTATAATTCTGTTTAGAATCTTGTCACTAGAGTGACCAAGTCTACAATGCCAAAAGGTTTTACTAAATGCTTTAAAACTAGATGCTATGTTAACAGCTTCTTCAGCAACTAAAACCAGATCTTCTTGTCTTCCTTTCCTCTTCAAGTCTAGAACTCAAAACATGCCTCCACTATTTGGCTTGCCCTGTAGTATTAACTGCCCTGTTACCTGATCCTTCACAAAAACACCATTTGTGTTAAAAATCACATTAGCCTTATTGTCATGAGCCACTTGATACACACTGAGTAAATTCCTTTTGATTTCAGGAGTATAAAGTATTCTGTTCAGTTTAACTTCTCTGTTACTGACATTTTTAATAGTTGAGGAACCCACTTTTTCAACACCAAGTCTAAAACCATCTCCTACTACAATATTCATCTTACCATTGGTTTCAGCAGCATTATCAATTTGTTGATATCATTGGTTACATGACTTGTTGCTCCACTATCTAGGTACTAGGCATCATCATTCACCACCTCTGGAGTTGCCCAATAAGCACTATCCAGATTAGTGTAGGTGGTTCTCTGTTGCTTCCGACCACCAGAAGGAACAAAGGATCAGTCAAAACGGTAAAAGCAATTCTCAACCACATGACCGACCCTGCTGCAGAGCTGGCAATTTGGCGGACCATCATCATAGTTGTTGTTTCTTCTAGAACTTCCACGTTCATTTCGACTCCTGCCATGTCTTTCTCTATTTCCACGACCACCACGCCAGTTGTTTCTAAAGGAAGAGTTGCTGTTTGACCGTGGAACAAGGGAGTCATCAAGCCGAACAGTGTTTGCAAAATGAGTTGAAGTTTCAGAAATAAGTTGAAGCTGCTCCAGTCTACTCTCAAAAGTGAAGAGCCGAGACTACATCTCAATCCAACTTAACTCATCAGCACGGTTGGAGAGTTAAACCACAATAGGGTTGTAGTTGCCGTCCAATCCAGCTAAAGCCTGAATGATGAGATCTGACAACGGTATTGGGCTACCGGCGAGTGAGAGCTGTTCTGCCAGATTCTTCATTTTTGCCAGGTATTCAGACATCTTCATGGAGCCTTTTCTTGTCCTCTGAAGTTCAGAACAGAGAAGGAGACGGGATTTCGTTTCAGCACCAACAATCACCTTTGCAGCACGCTAGAGACCGGCAGAGGTGGAGACGGAGGTCATTTCAGCAGAGATTTCTATGGTCATGGTATTAAGAAGCCATCCAAAAAGGAGCTAGTCGGCTGCTACCCAGTCTTTAAAGGCTGGGTTGATCTTCGTTTCAGTTCCTTCTGTGATGAACTGAGTTGGTCACCGCTTTGTTCCATTGATGAATCCTTCTAGCTTATGGCCTTTAATGATAGGCAAAACATGTGTGAGCCACAATGAGTAATTAAGTCTGTCCAGCTTGACAGAACAAGATTAAGACAATGGGCTGTTCTTTTCTGTTAGTTTGGCTAAAAGGGAGGCAGTGACAATGGAGCTGTCATCCATTCTGGACGTTTCAGATGATGTCCTGGGGTTGTTTTGGGATTCGAGTGATTCATTGGGATTCAACATTGGTGACTAACTAGCTGGCTCTGGATACCAAGATAAGAAATGTAATAGAGAAACTGATAATAAAATCAATGAAGGCGCACTACTCAAGGCCCTTTGTTATTCTATATATAGACAGGATAAAAACCCTAGTTTACAGGAGGAGCTTACACGTGTATTGTACAATGGATCAGTAATATATTAAATGAATAACAATTAGTTGGGCTTTATATATATGGGCTTATATATTGGACCCAAAGCATTATTAACAGTCATAAACTTTCATAGTCATAACTTATAGCAATGAACATTCTGTGCGTGCCGTATATATTCACTGCCATTTTCTACATACGTGTAGTTGAAAAGTAATAAATGCTGCATGGATATACAAACACCACTCATCAAGATTAGTTTAACAGTTATGCAGTGGGATAAGAAGCTTGCATTGCTATGCCACAAAGGCCTTCTTGAGCAGCCACATTTCTTTGCATTCTAATGTGTCCTTCTTCTCCCCATTCTGTTCCCCATGAGTTTTTCACCAACCAGTATTCGGTATTGTTACTGACACCATAACCAACGGCAGCAACGCCATGATCCAACTCAGTACCACAAGAACCAGTGAAAATGCCACTTGAATAAAACTGAAAATCAGATCCACTTGCATCTATGGCCACCGAAACAGGCTGGTTGGCCACTACTTTTTGTATTGCCTGCTCGCTATTGGCAGGAACATCCTCATACCCCTTAATGGTAGCTACATGATTGGCTTCTTCATTGGCGTTGCAGGTTCCATCAACACCCTTATAAGGATAGTTGGCTTCAGACGTAATACCGTTATTTTTTATGATGAATTTGAAGGCATCATCCATCAAACCTCCTTCACAACCTTGGTCCACACCTGTGTCGCAATCAACTAGCTCTTGTTCTGACAAAGAGATCAGTTTACCTGTACTCAACTTAGTGATTCCTTCCATTGCTGCCACAGCAGAAAATGCCCAACAGCATCCTACAATGCATGAAAGTAAAACGGAGTTGAATAAAACTTCAAGGATTCTTTAGACAATCTAAATGGCAACTTCCAATCACAACTGATTAGTTTTGAGGGGTAATAGAACAATTCTTACCACAATCGCCTTGGTTCTTAACAGGTGTGACAGCACCTTGGTTTCTCCAATCCACAGAGGAAGGCACATCAGTTACATTTGCATATTTGAAAGAGGGTGTCCTTGAGATTGAGGAGCACATATGACCCTTGAATCTATTCCTACAAGCTGTGAATTCTTCATTCGTGAGATCTGCAAATTGATTTACACCCAACTTGTAAGGCTTAGTTTTAGCATTGTTAAAGTCTTCAATATATTCCACATTTTGCTTGAATATGCTGAAACGCTTCTCCTTATCCTGAGTGTCCTTATACACTCTGCCATATTGAACCATCCATTCCTCATGCCTCTCCCTCATTGAAGCATCTTGAAGAGTGCGAGATGAGGCTTGAAATGCCAACATCCCCAGCAAAAGCTTGGAAGGAGAAGGCTAGGAGATTGAATTTTGAAAGCCATGTTATAGCGAAAATGGAGATAAGTAGCTTCAGATATGACTCAGTCAAATGTAGGAAAGAAAGATGATGTGATGAACTCCAATGTTCTTCAGGTATTTATATACCAAAACTTGCACTGACTTGTAAACCAATCATATTATATGACTATAATATATAAACGCCTCTCTCTTCGGGGTGCCTGAAAAAAATGCTATGAACAAGACGGCTGGGTAAAGTGTTAAAATGGAGGTCTTCGATAAATGTCTTAAATGGGAAGGTATTTTGACTGAAAATATGATTTAAAAAACACCAGCATATATAGCTAAATAATATAATACTTCAGAATTTGTGTAAAATGCAAAATTTAGCATCAATACATCATTCAAAGAGATAGGAAGAATATAAAAGAATACAAAATATGGTATATATTCTGAAACGTTTACGTATGGAAGAATGACTATACGACTACTTGTCGTTGAGTTACTTAGATGGAATGGAAAGTTGTCATCTAGCTATATTTTTTATTATGAAAATGAAGAACTTAATACTGGTTGTTAAACCACATTACTTATAACAATTGAGGTGATTTTAATATATAAGAATGCTAATTAATTCTGCCGGTTTTGTTGTCAATTAATAAAATTAGTTATTTCTTTGAAATTACTCTCAGTAAACGTTATTAGATAGATTTCAGCCTAACAGAAATTAGTCTCAAACTCAAAATGACTTGAAGATACTATGAGCTATACCAAAAACAAGTTATTAGTCAATAATCAGAGGAGTACTTGGTTAATTAGTTAGAAAGTTTCATAATTAATTAGGGATACTAAGTAAAATTATTAATAGTTTAGGCAAAACATATTTTTAACAAGAAACCTATCATTCCCTTACAAGTATTGCTAGGAACTAAACGACCATACAGAAATAGATAGGATCGGTGAAAGCTTGAAAGGTTGAATCCAGTCCCATAAACCAGTAGTTCAACTTTTAACATTAAATTCCATTAAAAATGAAAATCTAATTTGTAATTACGAATGAATTTTTTCCTATATACTACCTTCGATCTTTAATATAAAAGTTAGTTGACTAATTTAAATAAATTAAAAAAATTAGTTAAGTTAGTTATTTGTAATAAATTGGTTTTTTCCCCCTAAAATGTCTTTACTAATCAAGCGTATTAGCTGGAACTACTATTATTTGAAAGACTATCTTGATAAAAATTAGATAAATATGAGAGATGGAGTGGATTAGAGTCTTATATTTAGAATCAAATTGAAAGTCAAACTAGTTCTTGCATTAGGGGCAAAAGGAAGTACTTGAAATGATTATGAAAATTTTATTTCAAGTTCGTTTCAGGAAAAAAACAATAGAACTGCTAATCAATCATCACCCCTCTCGCTAGTATCAACCATTCACAATCCATGGTGATGACATATCCTCTTGCGTTGGGATTGGGTAAAAAGAAATCTTTCTCAGGCTTAAATGGATCTGAGTTTAAATAAATTAACATTTCATAAAGATAAATTTAATATATAAACAAGTCATAGTCATAATGAATCATTAATTTCATTATTATAGTATCCATCACTCATTACATGAATTGGAATTGAAAATAAAGTAGTAAAAACTTCACAAACCTTCACAATCCATATCATATAACTTGTAGAACTTGAACATGTGTATATGCCTCATATTCACTGCTGTGATTTTAAACTAATGTGTTGATAACTACTAAATGGTGCATGGATATACAATAACACCATTCATTTAGAGTTAATATTAAGTGTGTAATTTAACAATTATGCAGTGGGATATGAAGCTTGCATTGCTATGCCACAAAGGCCTTCTTGAGCAGCCACATTTCTTTGCATTCTAATGTATCCTTCTTCTCCCCATTCTGTTCCCCATGAGTTTTTCACTAACCAGTATTCGGTATTGCCAGTGACACCATAACCAACGGCAGTAACACCATGATCTAACTCAGTACCACAAGAACCAGTGAAAATGCCACTTGAATAAAACTGAAAATCAGATCCACTCGCATCTATGGCCACTGAAACAGGCTGGTTAGCTACTGCTTTTTGTAGTGCCTGCTCGCTATTGGTAGGAACATCCTCATACCCCTTAATGGTAGCTACATGATTGGCTTCTTCATTGGCATTGTAGGTTCCATCAACACCCTTATAAGGATAGTTGGCTTCTGAGGTAATACCATTATTTTTTATGATGAATTTGAAGGCATCATCCATCAAACCTCCTTCACAACCATGATCAACTGTGTCACAATCTACTAGCTCTTGCTCTGACAAAGAGATCAGTTTGCCTGTACTCAACTTAGTAATTCCTTCTGTTGCTGCTACAGCAGAAAATGCCCAACAACATCCTACCATCCATCAAAGTAATATGAAATTAAACAAAAATTAAAGGATTTGGATCTATTGAGGTGTACTTCACCTAAAATGAAGAGAGTGACGGACAAGGAAAAGGCAAGCCCACTTTTGAAATTAGGGCCCCGTGTCCCTTTTTGTGTCTACATGTCTCCATAAGTGACATGCATTCACTTTGGGCAATCAAAATGGGAATAATGATTAAATGGTGTATTTTAGGAGAACCAACACATAATATAATTATTACTAACAAGTAATTTAACTAATGCCCTTACTATTTGTAAATTAGTTATCTAGTTTTTATATTTAGGTTGAGAGGGAGTATTAATTTTAAGGAGTAATAGAATAATTCTTACCACAATTGCCTTGGTTCTTGACGGGTGTGACAGCACCTTGCTTTCTCCAATCCACAGAGGAAGGCACATCAGTCTCATTTTCATATTTAAAAGTGGGTGTCCTTGTGATTGAGGAGCATGTAAGACCCTTGAATCTGTTTCTAGAAGCTGTGAATTCTTCATTTGTGAGATCTGCAAATGGATTCACACCTAACTTGTAAGGCTTAGTTCTAGCACTGTTAGTGCCTTCGATGTACTCCACATTTTGCTTGAATATGTTGAAACGCTTCTCCTTCTCCTCAGTGTCCTTATACACTCTTCCATATTGAACCATCCATTGCTCATGCCTCTCCTTCATGGAAGCTTCTTGAAGGGTGCGAGATGAGGCTTGAAATGCCAACATTCCAAGGAAAACAAGAGCCAATGAAAGAACTTTGAAAGCCATGTTTCTGTGACAATGGAGATAACTGGCTTCAGATATGACTCAGTCAAGTGTTTGAAAGAAAGATGCTGTGATGAACTTTACTAATGATCTTGAGGTATTTATAGAACGAAAATGTACGCTTTCTTGTAAACCAATCATGTTCTATGATTGAATCATTATAGAATACTAATAAATAAAGAGCTTGATCTCTTTGGACTGCCTCAAAAAATGCCATGAACAAGACAGGTGGGTGAAGTCTTAAAACGGAAGTCTTTGATAAATATATGTTACTTTGGTCAAAAATATGATGTTAAAATTACCAGCATATATAACTAAATAATATAATATAATGCTTCAGAATTATTGCAAGATACAAAGCTTAGCATCAATATGCATCATTCAAAGAGATCCAGACAATATAATAATGAATAGCTGAATACAAAATATGGTATATTATATATTCAGAAACGTTTGCGTATGGAAGAACAATTATGTCTACTTGTATATTCTTATCACGCTGAACATTTTGCTTACTTAGATGGAATGAAAAGTTGTCGTCTAATTAATTTTTTATTATGAAAACGAAGAACTTAAATTGTTGATAAACCACGTTACTAATATGCAGGATCATATTCGTCGTGTGTGTTGAGTATAATAACTGAGGTTATTTTTATAAGAATGCTAATTAATTAGGCAGCTGTCGTTTTCAAAATCATATGCATTGTTTTACATTGTGGGTAATCAACAAATAATATAACATAACATAATATAATATAATATAATATAATAGATTGGTACTCCCTTCGGTTTACAATATAAGATAAACTTTATCCATTTATGTTTATCAAGAAATTAGTTAAAATCAGTTTAAAACAATAAATATGTAAGGTATATATATATTTTCCCAAATATGACCTTATTAATGAAGAGAATAAATAAAAGATATAATAAATAAATTAAAGAAGAAAGAGAATATATGAGGGTAAATTTAAAAAAAAACTTATTAAATGCTTAGGAAAAAACGAATGTTATCTTATAAAAAAAATCAAGCCCCTCTAACAAAATTTAGCTTATATTTTGAACTGAATGGAGTGTTATATATAGATTTACGTTCTTAAATTATTTGTCACTGTGTAAATATCAATTTTGATCCCACTGCAATTTAAGTATTGGGAATTTTTCAAGCCAAATATGAAATCTCACCAATTGAAATAATATAACAACAACGTAAGAATCCAAATTATTCTTTCTTTATAATTTTATGGCTGTACTGTTGTTGTTGGGGTTAATGCAATGTTAGTTCTTCTAAATTGCCCTCCTTTTTATTTTGATTATTATAGTTTCAAATCATATATTTTTGTCGTTCAAGTTTTTTTTTCTATCTAAAACGTTAGTCTGTATATTTTAATAAGAATTAAGACCATCTAATTTTTTGAGGGACTCAAAACTTATGATTTAAAACTATAAGAATCAAAACTAAAATGAGAATAAATTATAAGAACTAAATATTGTATTAACGCTTATTATTAATGTTATTGTTATTGTAATTATTATTATTATTATTTCTAAGTTTCATTCAAACCCACCACAGCTCCTACTTACAAAGAAGCACCCATGCGACTAGACTATAGTCTTTGTCTTTGGCTAAGGTTGTCACGTAAAGACGATATCTTGTCTTCACATAAACCTTTTTCTTGTTTTTTTTTTTTTGGAAACTTTACATTAACTTTGCATAAAGAGAAAGTTGCATGTTATGATTATAAATGATAATAATTTCTGAAAAATTTAAATGGCCAAGGAGATATTCCCTTCACTCCTTTTTTTTCTGAGTGAAGAACTCATAATATCTACCGTCGGCAACAGTCACTAGTGACTAATCCTCTTCTGTTGTAAACTTTCTGAAGGCACTTTAGCATTGATCATGAGACCCTCTCCATATATAGAACCCCTAACTAAATACTTAAGGAACCCACTTAAGTGTCAACTGTGCTAAGCCTTGTGGTTTCCCTTTGTTCTTTTTTATAAGATATAAATAATTCAATTATATGGATAAAAAAATTAGTTTAAATTAGTTTAAAATGATAAATATGTATAAAATACAACTTATTTTCTGAAACGGAAGAAAATTTCAAATTAGAATAAAAGGACTAAGAGGAAAGCTGGTGTTTTCTCGTCCAATGCAATTCACACTTCTATCAAACGGGTTGGGGAAGAGCCCAATGAAAAGCTTATCCCATACTGCCCCTCAGCTATGAAGGTCTTGACTTGGAACGGTTGTGGTATTAGGAAGGCCAAGGCAGTTAAGAGATTAATGCCAACTTGTCTGGTCTAATGGTCCTGATTTGATTTATTTATCTTTGACAACTTTCTACCTCAACAGCTTTCAAAGCTTTAAGCGGTCTTGGTTATACTAATCATGTAGGTACTGATGTAGTATGTAAAGGGGGCAGAACTCTAGTAGCTTGGAAGGATTGCTGGGATGTACTGGTTTTTTATTGTACCACTTTTGTGACCCATTTGAAAGTACAGTGCATTGAAAAGAACTTATTCCTCTACTTGGCTCTTGTATATGATCCCCCAAAGGTTTCTGACAGATATATCCTTTGGAACTGGATTAAAGCTAAATTCCAACATAATAACTGGACCTTGGTTGCTTATTAGTGATTTTAATCAGGTTAGTTCTTCTAAAGAAGACCTAAGTGCCAATCCAAGTGTCCGTGGCTGTTCTGATTTTTCATTGAGTGCCTAGATCAAGACAGACTCATCGACATTAAATAACATCGTCCTAAGTTCACTATAAAAGGCAATGGCAGTGTCTTGGAAAAACCTGATAGAGCATTTTGGAACTTTGATTGGGTTCAGTAGTTTCCTTCTTTGAATGACATCAATTCATGTATTGTGGCCTCTGATCAGAGACCAAAATTTTTCTCTTCTTTGGCTTCTTACAGGAATACTAAAAAACCAAGAAGATTTGAAGCTTTTTGGTATCGTTTCCCTAAATGTGAAGACATCATCAAAACATGTTGGGGCAAAGAAGTAAGGGGTTCTCCTGCATGTAAAGTTTGCAGCACATTCAATTGCTTTTTGGGTACGCCTGAAAATTGGAGCAAATCAAACCCAAGGCAATTTTCATGAAAAAGATTAAGAGGGTGTTTGGATGAAACCAAACCATGGTTTGGAAAATAGCTTTTAGATAATAGATTCTAGAGAGAATAGATTTTGTGAAAAAGTGATTCTGAGAAGTAAGAGTGTTTGGGGTGTTTGGATGAAACCAAATCATGGTTTGGAGAATAGCTTATAGAGAATAGATTCTGGGGAGAATAAATTCTGTGAAGAATAGATTTTGTGAAAAAGTGATTTCGAGAAGTGAAAGTGTTTGGATAGTTGTTATCAGAAGCACTTTTTACATGTGCAAATTACTAAAAAGGGCATAAATTAATATGATAATTATATAAGGGATAGATTTTATAATATATTTTGATTTGAAGAAATAAAATTGTTAATAAAATAATTTTTACTAACATAATTAATAATATATAAGATAATGTAATTAATAAATAATTAATATGTGTACATATATATATATTTAAAAAATACAAGATTAAATATATTTTTAGAAAAAATGAATATTTTTTCCAAAAAAAAATATTATTTTATGCTAATAAGGGAGGAGAACCGGTCAAAAAAAAAAAAAAAGAGTGAGGGAAGAGAAAGAAGAAGCAATGTAATGGCGTGAGGGGCAAAAAATGTCATTGACATACAGCAGCAGCCAGAGATTCCAAAAAGCGAAAAAAATATGCTTATGGTGAAACCATGGTTTTCATAAGGTAAACCATGATTTCATGACAAAACCATAGTTTGAAAAAAATTGGAGTGTTTGGCTATTTTTGGTACCAAACCTTGGTTTGGACTCCAAAAATACTTTTCATATGTTTACCAAACACCCCCTGAATAGTTGTTACTAGAAGCACTTTTTACATGTGCAAATTACTAAAAAAGGTACAAGTTAATATGATAATTATATAAGGATAGGTTTTATAATATATTTTGATTTGAAAAAATAAAATTGTTAATAAAATAATTTTTACTAACATAATTAATAATGTAAAAGATAATATAATTAATTAATAATTAATATGTGTATATATATTTATAAAACATAATATTAAATATGTTTACAGAAAAATGGTTTTTTTTCGCTAATAGAAAAATATTAATTTTCTTTAAAGATTTTAAACATAAAATCCTGTAACATTTTTTCACAACTATTTTTTATAATAACATACTATCTCCGATGTTTAATATAATTAATTAATTAATTGTCACCACATGTATATATATTCATAAAATATAAGATGAATTATTTTTGGAGGAAAGGAAGAGCAAATGCGTAGGACTAACTAGGAAATGAATCAATTATTTGAGTCATGAAAGAGGGCTCTTTTGTCATTCGTGTTCGGCCCACAACAACATTCCAATAATTTGAGCCAAGAAGCTACTCTGGACCGCTTCTGGTGAAACCATGGTTTGGGGGTTCAAAACCATGGTTTGCCCTCAAACCATGGTTAAATCACTTGAGAAAAGTATCCTTGATATCTCTTCAAAAATGGATTCCCATGAGACTATTAATTCTTCCTTTCAGTGTGCTTTCTCTAATATCAAACATCAACTTGAGTTTCCAAAAACTATCAGAACAGTTTTGGGGAACAAAGAGCTAAAATAAACTGGAAAGCGAAGGGTCAGTGCAACGCCAAATACTTCATGCAGCAGTCTCCAAAAGGAGAACTAGGAATTATATTATGTTAAATGCCTTAAACTGATGGTCTTAGGCTGATGATCAATCAGAACTGCAACAAATGGCTTGGTCATACTTTTCTGGTCTCTTTTGTACCAACATTCACTTGATATGCTCAGGGATCTTAGCAACCCTGACTTGCCTCAGATTACAATGGAGCAAGCCCTCTTAGACACTACTCCTCCTCGTTTAGAAATTTAAAAGGCTATGTTTGATCTTCTTGAGGATAGTTCTCCTGGACCAGAAGGTTTCTATGCTAGTTTCGTTCACAACCACAGATCTTTGCTCAAGTATTTAGTTCCTGGACTTCAGAGTTCATGCTCAAGTAACTTAACAAGACCCATATTGTGTTGACTCTGAAAGG